GGGGCGCTGGCGGGGAAGGGCTGGGGCCGGGAGGGATGCGGGCAGCTTGAGCCAAAGTGGCTACGGGTCTCCTTGTGGCCTCTTGAGACGTGCTGCGCGCGGCTTCGGCCGACTGGAGGCCATCTTGGGCGTCGTGGACCGATCGTGCAGCGATTCGGGGCCCTTTTTGGACTGTCTTGGGGTTGGGGTACGGAAAACCGCCCCTGAGAGTTCCAGCATCCTTGAGGGGACCTTGCCGGCAGTCTGCCTTTGCGGGAATCCTATGTGTGAGCCCTATGGGGAGATCGTACGGGGGAATCCCGTGGCGGAATCCCGTGGGGAAATCGTATGGGGGAGACTTATGGGGGGGTCTTACGGGGGAGTCTGAATCCAATTAGAATCCATATGGAATTCGATTGGATTCTTCAGGATTTGCAATTCGAGAGGATCCAACAACAACTGGTTACCCCCTGGGGATCTGATTTTTTACAACGCATCCGGCGACGTGGAGCCCCTTCTTATTTTCCCGAAGGCCACTCCGAAAACCCAATGCACAGTTGCGCGAAACATCGATTCGCGTGTCCACCAGGGGGGGGAGGCGGGGCCCCACGCTTACTCGACCTGTTTGAAACAGGCGCCAAAAACAGCCAAGATCTACTCGATGGGGGGGATGCGCGCCGATCGGCAAAACAATGAAAAAGAAAACGATCACGATGCTGACCACATGTCTGGTCCGGACGGCAACGGCAACGATCCCTGGTACAAAATTGAAATTTGCACGAAGGTGAACATGGCCGTGCCTCGACCTCCCAACTCCAGTCAACCCGTGTAGTAAGGATGCGCGGCTGATGCAAGGGCCTTGGACGCCCATGCCGAGGCTCTTCGAGCGGGGCTGGCCATCGAAAGTGGTTGAGGATGGGCCGAAGATGACGGAAGAGGCAAGGATGCAAGGGTATCCTTGGGAAGTCGAGCACCCTTAGTATGCGCGTTGACTGCATGTCGCCGCGCCGCTTGTTCTCGACGCGCCCAAGTGGACGACGCCGACACCACCGCAAACCCACGGCGAGCTCTGCGCCCCGCGCCCCAGGTAGACGAAGCCGGCACCGCGGCAAGCCCTGCGTCCGAGGCGGCGTTTGCCCTGGTGGCCGAGGCGCCCGCCCCAAGCCGAGAGTGCGCGCGTCGGAGCAAGCGGCGCAGTGACACATGGAGTCATGCTTGACTGGGATCGAGACGAGAAGAGAATCTCTGAACGCTCGTCTGCGCTTCGAGCCTCGTCCAGCGCGTCGTACTCGGCGATGGCGTCCAGGTCGGCCGCCGCGGCGGGCAGGCGGGGCCTTAGGTAGCGGGCCCTGGCAACGACACGGCCGCTTGCTACTTACTGGCTCCGCTTTGCAGTTCTTGTGGCCGGTCCCAGCACGGCTGTTTCCCCAGCTCGGGCGGGTGGTAGGTCTCTCCACCCCCCAAGTAGGTCACCCACCATTACCTGATGGGCCTGTTTTCCACCACCACCACCACCACCATAAGATGGAGGGGGGGAAGGAGGAGGAGGAGGAGGAGGATGCGAAGGAGGAGGAGGAGGAGGAGGAGGAGGAGGAGGAGGAGGACTCCCTCCCCCTCCAACTTATGGTGGTGGTGGTGGTGGAAATCAGGCCCATCATTACCGCCCGCCCGACCAGCTCCGTCGCATCTGCTTTCTTTTGCTCCTGGGTCAGCTCCCCTCCTGGACCTGCTTTCTTGTCCCTGTGTCCCGGGGGCCGCACTTGAAACCGCTCCGTGCCCCAGGACCTGTCCCTGTTTTCGACAACGGCCGCTTCCCGGGCCCACTGAGGGCGGGGCTGCTCGCCGCACAGGGCCCGCTTCAGGCGCTCCCGCGCCGCGGCGTCCGCGTCGCAGACGCAGGTCACGCGCAGCGCGCTGCCGCCCTCCGCCGGGGCGTAGGCGGTGAGGCCCGGCGGCGCGAGCTGCCGCAGCGCCCGCGCGTACGTCGAAGAACAAACGATTGCACAAACATGTAAACTTTCGGAGGGCCGCGCTGATTTCTCGGATCGGCGCTGGCCCCCCCCCCCCCCCTGGCGGCGCCCCCGTCGCAACCCCAACGCCGATCCAGGAAATCCGCGCGGACCTCAGAAAGTCGAGGCTCATGTCATATTGTTTGCTCCTCGAGTCAAGCAGGGCGCGGGGCCCCGAGGAGCCCGCGACGCAGAGGGCTATCAGCTCTGCCATTCGAGCCTGCGGGCCTGCGGTGTGGGGTTTCGGGTTCCGGGTCAAACAGGACGACTGCGCCAAAGGGACGGGTAATGTCATACGCTGCCGCGGTGCTCACTCACACGCCACCCACCCGCGCGTGCTGCAGGGCTTCGGGGTCCCGAGAAGCCCGCGGCACAGAGGGCTATCAGTTCTGCCATTCGACCTGCGGGCTTGGGGCTTAGGGCTCAGGGTCCACTGCAGCTCAACTCGAAGCCCTCTGGATGCATCCCACCCACTCGAGGCCCTAAGCGTAACGCACCCGTCGGCGATGGGGTGGCGCCAAGCAGCTGCGCCAATGAGGATGGTGATGGCGAGGCGCGTCGCTGGAACCGCTTCGGGGCGCTTTGAGAAAGCTTGGACTGCCTGCGAGCCCGCGCAGCTCTACCATTCGGGCCTGCCCGCGCGGGCTCGCACGATAGAGCGCAGGCTGCGCGCCCCAATCGGCGTGTGGGCGTACGCTTCTTGCCTACCTCCTCTCGTCATCCGCTGCCCTTGTCGGCCCAGGCGTTGACATAGATAGGTCCGCTTATGAGCATCGGGTGTTTCCATCCTACGGGTCATTGGCAGGGTTGGCGCTCTGATCCTTCCCTTCTATTCACACTTGGATTAGCGGCGGGGGAAAGCGGCGAAAACTTTGGGGAGGTGGCGAGACCACTGGTAGAGCCGGCGGAGGCACTGAACCTCTAGGGAGGTGGCTGGACCTTCGGGGAGGCGGCACCTCTGGGGAGGCGGAAGGGCCTCTGGGGAGGCGGCGGAACTTCTGGAGTGGTGGCGGAACCCCTGGGGATACGACGGAACTTGTGGGGAGGCGGCGGGACCCACCCGCATTGAACCCGAGCCAAAGTGACGATTCGCCGGACGATTACAGACCAGCGGGAGACCGCAAATCGCATGCAGCATGCAGACCCCTGCGAAGCTACCCCGAAACTTCGGCAGTCGAGTGGGCATACCGCAAACCGCTTGCAACACGGACTGCAACATGTAATGCATCATGTCTCTCCGAAGCTACCACGAGCTCCACCTGTGAAGTGATAACGAACCACACGCAGCGCGTAAACTGTTCCCATGCGAGACTCAACCGAGCTTCGGCAGTCGAGCGGACACATCGCAAAGAACATCCCGAATACGTGGCCGACTCCGGAAATCCTGAACCCCGACATGCCAGCACCTCTGGTGGGGAGGAGCGCTGCCTTCTCCTGAGAGGGCTCCCGCCGGCGGAGCCGCTACGCTTCTTCTTCCCCCGCCTTCCGCCAGCCTTCCGCCAGCCTTCCGACACCTTCCGCCGAGGACGAGATGCCCACTTCTCGACCCCTCGAAAGCGAGGCCGTTTCTGAAGGGCTCGAAGATATGGATCAGAAAACAAACGACACCACCCCACCTACGGCCCCATGGGGCTTAGCGTATACCAGGAAATCTGGCGTGGGCGTTGTCGCGGTATACGCCACGGCGCCCGCTGGGCCGTAGCGCAACATGAAGGGCGCCGTAGGTGGGGTGGTGTCGTTTGCATTTCGGCCCAGAAGAATTCAGCAAAAATGCGATCTCCTACAATCGAGCAGAAACAATCCGCCGCCGTACCGCGAGGCACTGAGTGGAGTGTCCTGAGCTCCTTCTCGATCCCTCACTGTCAGAGGCCCGGTTCCCCGAGTTGCAGGCGCTTTCGCACGATCTTGCAGGCTCGCCTGACTCTTCCCCCCCGAGGTAAAAAACAACAGAAAATATCCCAGTGCGACCCTACCTAGGAGTTGGAGCCTCTAGGAAAGCACCATTGCTGCTGCTGATATATATATATATATATATAGAGAGAGATAGCAGCAGCAATAGTGGATGCTGTGCTGCGCTATGCTATGCTATGCTCTGCTCTGCTCTGCTCTGCTATGCTATGCTATGCTATGCTGCGCAATGCTATGCTGGGCTAGGCTAGGCTACGCTAGGCTAGGCTATGGTATGCTATGCTGCGCTATGCTATGCTGCGCTATGCTATGCTATGCTATGCTATGCTATGCTATGCTATGCTATTCGATGCTTTTGCTTTGCCTTCGCTTTTGCCTTCACTTTTGCCTTTGCTTTTGCTTTTGCTTGGCACCCAGGGAGCGCAACTGGGGGAACCGCGCGTTTGCTTTTACCTTTGCTGTTGCTTTTGCTTGGCCCCCAGGGGACTGGGGGAACCGCCCGGGGAGCTTTCCACTGCCCGGCCCCTTTAAGCAAAGAAAGTAAGAACCCTTCTAGGCAGAGCCTAGGTAGGGAAAAACATTGGACGACGAAAAAGGGGGCCCAAACTGGCTCGAATGGGCCGAGGGCAACTAGATCCGTCGTGCCCCTTGCCTGCAAAGGGGTGCCTAGCTTAACGAGGTTCATAGCTCTTGTGAGCTCCTCCGACTTTTGTTTGTATATCGTTCGATATCGACCGATTCTGGGCGGCGCGGGTCGCAGCCGCGTCGACACGACGCGCATCTACCAGGCAAGTGCAAGCTTCGAGCCGATGAGAAAAGCAAGAACTACGAACGGCGCCAACATGAATTAAACAGTTCGGCACCGCGTCTCGTGACACTGCGGTCACTGAATGCATGTGCAGCCGGCTAGAACAGAAACTCGTTCCTCTCCTTCCACTTCTTCTGCTCTGCTGGACTCATCTATGCCAGTTCAAAAACATCTTTGAACTTCTGCAGCAGCCCACCGTCGTTGGTGTAGCCGCCCCTCTTCGACTTGGCCCACCATATGGCCCGAAGTCGATCGCCACCGTTTGGGTAATCTTCCACCCTGAACTCAAGCCCGCCCTAGTCGAGCTTACAAAAGGGCGTGCCCGTGCCCTTCCCGAACAGCCTGAACTTGCAGATGGCCCCGCAGGGAGTCGTGGCTACCTTCATGCCCTCCTGCCCCTTCGCGAAGTCCTGTATGAACTTGACGCAGCTCTTCGCGTCGCCCACGGGGGCGCGAAAGAGCTCGGGCCCGATGAGCAGCAGCATCATCTCCTTCCAGTCGCACTCCTTCGCCCCGGACGGAGGCGCCTCCTCCTCCCGGATGAAGAAGCTGGCGTCCACGCCGAGCTTCAGCGCCACCATCACCGAGTTCGCCACCCCCTCTGGGCTGGTGGTTGTGCAGGTGCTGCCCTCCGGCACACCCTCTGGCTCCTGAAGCGTGCACTTTACCACCTGCCGCGGGGCGCCTCCCGCAGGCATCTGGCCTGCGCGCACGTAGATGATGCGCAGCGGCAGCTGCAGGGGCCGATACTGGCCCATGCGCTCGACAGTCCGCTCGATGTCCTTCCAGGAGGCCGGGGACCCGAAGATGGACCCCAGGTCGAAGGCGCCGGACTCCGCATAGCCGAAGCTGCGGCTGACCAGCAGCAGCTTCTCGACCGACTTCGGCAGGCTGACGCTGAGGGCCTCCAACATCTCGTTCGCCCTCTGGAGCTGCTTCGAGCTGCTGTCCGCGATGTCTGGGCACAGCACGAGCACCTCGCAGCGCTCCAGCGCCGAGGCCGCGCCTTCCGCCCGCTCCAGGCCCACGAACAAGGGTCCGCGCCTGACGCGGTGAGTAACGAGGTCACCAGCTGCGCCGAGCTGCCGCTGCCCTCGCCGAAGCCGAACACCGCGATCGAAGGTGGCCGCGTGGCAGCTTCCGCCGCCTCCTTCTCCGCGGCCTCCTTCGCCGAAGCGACCTTCGGCCTCAGCTCGTCGATCCGCTTCTTCTCCTCGATCCTGCTCTCGTGCTCCACCGCCGCGAGCGCCACGCCGCCCAAGCGCCGCCGCCTATGCGAGAGCCGCGGGCACACAGCGGGCGCCGCGAGCGCCAGGGCGCCGCAAAGCACCGCCACCGGCGCCGCGGCCGCGCAGGGCGCCGCGGCGGGCAGGGCGGCGCTGCTGGGGGGGCCTGCCGCGGCCAGTCGCTGGCGAAGGCCAGCGCCACGCTCATGGTCCTCCTGCAGGCCGCCACCAGCACCGCGCCGCTGACCTCGTTCTCAGAGCCGGAGTCAATGGGCGTGAGGGTAAAGTTCTTCGCGCAATGAACGTGCTGTCAACGCCGATAGTGGAGCACGACAATCGAAAATGCCGGGTGCGTGGGGACGTCGGGTGTACACACTTGCATGTGTTGTCACCACTGGCCTGACAAGTCTCTGTACCCCCAGCGAGGTTTGCAACGCGACAATCCGAGCTAGCACTGCAATCCTCGCCAGTGCCCGCGGAAGAAGCATCTACAGCGTGGTACGGCTCAGTGACATGTGACACGCCATCGAACAAGTTCTTGAAAACAGCACTGGACGAAGGCTGGTATACCCTGTCGCACGTTGTCGTGCCATTGGCATCGAAGCGCACGCCGTCGGGGCCTGCAAGCGCATTGAAATATTCGCAAGAAACCGCCAACCACTCCGGGTAGAAACTTACGGGTGGATCCTCGAGATAGTTTCCGTCATTGCCGCCCCAGTCGTAGGGTCCCAGAGGCGCCTACTTTCAGGCTCTTGTCGTCCAAAGCCGTTCGCAACAGACCAGTGGCCGCAGCAGAATTCGGGGTGATGAACACGCTCGGGTCGTCAGTCCTGCACGTGTGAATGACGGTGAACTCAAAGGGCATGTTGTTCAGCTTGGCCTCCTTGTCCTTGCCATCAGCCTGCAGCCGCACGATGGCCGCGTCCACGGCCAGCGAGAGGTCCTGCGAGGACTTGGAGGGCTCCGTGGTCCCGTGCACTATCTCGGTTGAGTGGACGGGCGCCATGAACATCGATCGGAGCGAGACCACAGTCGAAGAGGATAGATTCAGGTACTGCTCGAGGTGCAGCTCTGGCAGGCCAGAGATCAAGCCAGCCACGAAGTCGCCATGGAGTATGTGATGGATCATGTCGTCGATGCTGGAACAATCAGCGTATGTCATCACTGCTGTCGCAGATGACAACTTGGACGCCGTCGTCCAGCACAGTCTGCACCGCGTCGTAGTTTGCCTGCGACAGGAATGCCACCTTCTTGTTGGTGCCTGCCTGGAGAGCCGCGTTCAGCCCATCGACGGTGTACGCAGCGTCGGTCAAAACCCTGTCCTCGTCTGGAGCCGTGGACGGAGTCGTATACCTCTCGGTCATGCAGGTGCTGTCGACCCCGAGGGTGGAGCACGAGAGCCGGAGGTGCCTGAATCGCGGCGAAGACGGATGCTGACAATACTCGCGCTGGCTTTCAAGATTGGCCTGGCGGCAATCCTGTTCGGTTGCACATGGTTGTCCGGTGCCCGTATAGAACGAATCCACGTCGTAGTATGGCACTGTGACGTAGCTGACGCCGCCAAACAAGTCCTCGAACACCGAGCCAGAGGATGGTTAATAGACCCTCTCGCACGCGATACTACCTGACGAGCTGTAACCGACACCATCAGGACCCTTCAAAGAATTGAATACTTTGCAGAACTCTGTGAGCCAATCTGGATAAAATCCAGCAGCTGGGTCCAGCTTATAAGTACCATCATTGCCACCCCAATCGTAGGGTCCCAGAGCCCCGACCTTCAAGATCTTGTCGTTCAAGGTTGTCCTCAGAAGCCCATGGGCGGCACCAAAATTCGGCACTGTGTACAAACTCGGGTCGTTCATTCTGCAAGTGTGCGCTGTTATGAACTCGAACGGCATGTTGTTCTGCTGGACTTTCTCATCCGTTCCGCTTGACTGGAGGGTCACGATGGCAGCGTGGACCGCTAAAGACAGGTTCATTGAAGACTTTGCGGCACCCAATGTGCCATGGGGCATCTCATCAGAGCACACTGGCGCCATGAACATCGGGCGCAGGGAGACGACGCCGGACGAGAACGAATTCAGGCTCGGCGCGCTGGCCGCATCCGGCACTCCGGAGATCAGCCCCGCCAGAAATGTCCCGTCAATAATGTAGCCAATCATGTCGTCCGTGCTGGTGCAGCTTGGAAACGCCGCGTCGCTGCCATCGCAGATCACCACCTCCACGTTGCTCGAGAGCGCGGTGTGCACAGCATCGTAGTTCGCCTGCGCAAGGAAGGCGACCTTCTCGTTGCCGCCCTCCGCGGCAAGGCCGGGGAGCTCGTCGAGGGCGCCGTTGAGCTCACCGAGGGAGACGACGTTCGGGGCGGCCGCCCGAGGGTCAGGCCCACGACCAGGGCTCGCAGCATGGGCGCCCAGGCCGGCGAAAGGCAGCCCCGGGGGGGCCGCACCGGAGCCGCGCGTCTACCCTTCGGCGCCGGGCGCGGCGCAACATAAGCCGAACAATTTCCCAATGGGCTTCGGCGCATCCCGCCAGCACCGCGGCAGGAACGGTCAGGCTTGAATTGCACCAGAGACTCACCCCAATCAGTGGATGGCTGAAACATTTGGTAGGTACCATGCCTGGCCGCAGTTGATCGATGGTGATATCGATGGTGAGATCGGTTGAGTAAGATGGATAATGAGATCGATCATGAGATCGATGGTGAGCTCGATCGTGGGTTCCCGAAATCGGCCCAAAACCAGGAAGCGGGAACCTGAGCAACCAGGAACCCGGAAGCGGGAATCAGCGAACCCAGCTGGCTACCGAAATCGGCCCGGGAATTTCGCCAAATCTCTCCATATCCGCATATCCGCTAGGACTCCTTCAGTGCAAGCACCGATTGGGAAACAATGGCCAAGGTCTGCACAACGCCCGCCTCCAAGACGGCCAGGATGGCCGAACCTGGCCTTCAAGACGGCCTAGGGAGACCCAAGGCAGTGCCTGAGTGCGCAAGAAGCGCTAGAGGAACGGATGGACCTAAGGAACAACGGACACCTTCCGACCCCGACCAGTTTCTTGTTTCAGTGTTTCTTCTATGAACGGGGACAGCACACGTCGACATGGTCAAACAGCAGCAGCCCAATGGCTGTGTGATGGAGCATGCCAAGCGCCACGTCAACATGATCAAGCAGCAGCAGCCCGATGACTGTGTGATGGAGCATGCCAGGCGCCTCAGTGGTTTGAAACGAAGCCCATGCGGCAAACTCACACGAAACAAGATGGCAGATGGCGTGTAAGCTCTGGGCGGAATGAGGCACAACATGAGCACGACTGTGCAAGCACAGTCAACTTGATCTTCAGGCTGATGTTCAGGGGCTGAGTGCGCCCTTGACCGCCACGAGGGGTGGCAAAGTCCTCGAAGGATCACAAGGGCACGACCGTCCCACGCACCGTGGGAGTTCACGAGGGGACCAAGGGCTACGAACAGCCACGGGGCCATGACCGTCAGAGCCGCCACCTCGTATGCAGAGACGGCGATGCGCGATAGGCAAACTCACACAATAGGCCTGCGATAGGAAAGCTCATGCAATGAATCGTGGCCTGAAAAAATAAGAGCGTGCTGCTTACATGAAGAAGGGACAAGCGAGGAGGAGAGAAGGGAGGCATTTGGCAGGGTTTGTCCAGCCCATTGAGCAGAAGAAGGGAGAAGAAGGTTTAGCAAGGCACCTGGCGCCCAAGGGTTTGTCCAACCCATAGACTGCCCTAGGACCCACAAGATGTCTGGCATTCTAAGCAGGCAGACCTCCCCGCAACACATTCAGTTGCAAACCATGGCCTGTATAAAGTCATGTCATGAGCAGCGTACGCTTGTATCAGGCACGCAGCAAGCCGAAACACAAAACACACGGCGGACTATGACGGCATCTTCCCTACACCCCTTTGGGTCCGTATCTCAATACGTCGCCAAATGTCTGGGGTCTGTTCTCTGGACCTACATGATTCAATCATATAGATGTTATGTCTTCTTTTGAGGTCGCCCAATATGTAGCGACATCATGAACACATACCTGCAACTCATGCGTGGCCCTCGCACTGGAAATCCACATAATATAAAGTCATGCGCGCACAACGGAAGATCGCGAGAACAACCAGATCAGCAAGCGCGAACATGATGATACTCTCGATCTGCAATTCCCATGAACCCCCTTTGAGACGGCAGGGAGGTACCGATACTGCTACTCCACAGGCCTCTCCCAGGGCGCATTCTTGCCAAGACTTGGATGCGAATCCAGCCGCAGCGACGACGGGAGCACAGCAGTACTGGTATCTGCTCCTCATGTGATCCTCCCCCTCCTCATCCTCACACCAGTGCGCGCGCCATGCCGAATTTAGAAATACTGTGCGTAGCACAGGATAAAACCAACCGCCGCCCAAGTCAAGCACGTGGCCTAAAAGAGCATGATGGCAATCAAGTCATTCGCAGAGCTGTGTCTAACTCGTACGCGAGCCAGCATGGACTATACTCGGCACTCGGATGCAGAAGCGCACCTCAAGAGCGCGCTTTGACGAGGTGACGACACATTCCTCAGACAAACTTCTCTTCGGCAGTCTCCACGTAGGCCCTACAACAGGGCATGGGATTGCCCAACGGGGGCGGGTGACAATACCGATGTCCATGAAGACAAGACGGCGCGCCGCGTAGCGCATTGCCTACTCGACGCTCTGAAGCGGGCCTCGTGTCCGACTAGAGTACGCAACGGAAACACTCAAGGAAAGGACCCTGGGCCTTTACATGCCGTAAGAAATTATCCTGGAAGCCCTGGACATATGCTGGCGTGATCTCCAGCGGCTTGCGCGACAGGCTGACTCCAGGCATCGTCTGGAGGTGGAAGGACTGATACATCGCCTCCGCCGCCGTGGGCTCGACAAAGTTGATGAAGATTATGCCCCTGTTCTTCCTTGGCATCGGGGGGGACATGGGGTCGGTGGAAAATGGGCCCTGGAGCCCTGGACTTTCCCTAGGACAGACTCTCCAACCGGAGTCGGGGCCTGGGGGCCTCAAGCAGAGAACTGCAAACAAGCTCGGGACCCCCCTTTCCCTCAGGGCCCCGTTTCTTCGTGGCGATCTTCCTCTTTGCCATGTCCATGGGCACGTGCACGAAGTCAAACATGCCCTCGAACCCGTTGGCGTCGAGCGCGGCGATGGCCGTATCTGGCACGAGCGACGGCTCAACATTCTTCAGCCTGACGGTGGTGCACCCGCTCAGGCCGTCCCCGCGGAGCGCGGTGCCCCGCGCCTCCTCGAGGCTGGCGGAGACGACGATCGCGGGTTTCGGGTGGCCCGTCGCCCAGGCTCGGCCTCGGCCGGCACGGCCCGGCCCCCCGATCTGCAGCGCGCCCTGCTTCGGCGGCCAGCTCGCCCCCGCGAGCTCGCCCCCGGCAGGCAGCAGCTTCTCCTGGCTGCTGGCTCTCCCGCTGCTCGGCGGCGGGCCGGCGGGGACGGGTCGCCTGCCCTGCGGCAGCAGCGCCGTGCTCGCCGTCCCCGCGGGCAGCGAGCCGCGAGGCCACGGGGGCGTGCTGTGGTCGGCCAGAGCCTCGAGGAGCGGGGACTGGGCGATCGCCGGGGGAGGCGGGAGGCGCGCCATCGGGCCACCGGTGCCCTCCGCTCGCAAGCGGCGCGGGGGGCCCTCGTGTGCGGGCCGCGGGAGGACGCTTGCGCTCTGCTGGCGCTGAGGGGGGGGGAAGGCCAGGCCACGCCCTGCGCTCTGCTGGCGCACGAGGCTTGAGCGGCAAGGCTGCGAACCAGCCTGCCACCATCCGTCAGCAGCGCCCCGTCAGATGTGGTCAACAAACCCGCCTCCTCCTCCAGGCACCCCCCCTCATCATGCCCACCTGTCGGGCCCGTGCACGTGCGAGTCGCCCTCCTCCTCCGCCGCCTCCTCCTCCTCATCCTCCTCATCCTCATCCTCACCCTCACTATCACCATCACCATCACCATCACCATCATCGTCATCAGCATCGTCATCAGCATCGTCATCAGCATCAGCATCATCATCATCATCATCATCATCATCATCATCATCATCATCAACAACATCAGCATCCTCATCCTCATCCTCATCCTCATCCTCATCATCCTCCTCTTCATCATCATGATCGTCATCATCACTATCACCATAATAACCACCATCACCAACCTCATCATCAGCAACATCAACACCAGCATCAGCATCAACATCAGCATCAGCATCATCATCATCATAATCATCATTATCATCATCGGCATCATCACTATAATCAACAGCATCCATATAATACCCAACATCAGCAGCATCAGCATCATCAACATTATCATCGTCATCGTGATCATCATCATCATCGTCGCCATTATCCCATCATCATCATCGTCGTCAGCATCATCAGCAGCAGCAGCAGCATCATCATCATCGTCGTCGCCATCATCATGCTCTTTCTCTTCCTCCCCATCCTCCTCCTCCTCCTCCACATCCTCCTCTTCTCCCCTCATCCTCCACCCCTTCCTCCCCTCATCCGCCTCCGCCTCCGCCTCCTCCTCCTTCTCCTCCTCCCACCCCTCCTTTTCCCTCTCCTCCTCCTCCTCCTCCTCTCCCTCGTCCTCCTCCTCCTCCACCTTCTCCTCCTCCACCTCCTCCTCCTCCTCCTCTTCCACCACCTGCTACTCAGCCGCTCCTCCTCCTCCTTCTTTGCATCCTCCTCCTCATCCTCCTCTTCCTCCGTCTCCATTCCCTGTCCTAATACACAGCTCCTCCCAGTTGCACCCCGAGGCTGGTCGAAATGGCGACGCGGGCGTTTTGCCTGAGGCTTTCTCCGCACGTATGACCCTGAGGCATGTGCAACAGTTCCGCTGACGGAGGACGGACAGTTTTCAAAAACGTGGCTTTGACCTTAGCGACGCGCACATCCGTTTTAAGCATTGCTTGAGCTTCACAGGTGGAGGGCGGGTCGTATTCAAACTGCGATTATCGCCCTAGCGCCGCGCAAATTTGTGTTAAAAGCCCGCATGAGTTTCACGGATGGAAGGCAGGCCGTTTTCAAACTGTGGCTCTCGCCTTAGCGCCACGCCCATTCGTTTTAACAAGTTGCAGGAGCTTCGCGGATGGCGTGCGCGCCGTGCTTTGATTGTAAATATCTACGACGCTCA